GATAACAATGTCAGCTTGAAAATCCAACGCAGAATCACTCTTGCCAACAAGTGCTACTTTGGACTGAGTAGGCAATTCAGGAGTAAAGTCCTCTCTCGACGTACGAAAACCACGCTCCTGGTATATGGCGTAGAAGCATGGACAATGAGAACATCCGATGAGGTGGCTCTTGAAGTATTCGAGAGAAAGATTTTGCGGAAGATTTACGGGCCTTAACGTGTTGGCGACGGTGAGTACCGCAGACGATGGAACGATGAGCTGTATGAGCTTTACAGCAACATGGACATAGTGCAGCAAATTAAAATACAGCGGCTCCGCTGGCTTGGTCATNGAAATCCAACGTAGAATCACTCTTGCCAACAAGTGCTACTTTGGACTGAGTAGGCAATTCAGGAGTAAAGTCCTCTCTCGACGTACGAAAACCACACTGCTGGTATATGGCGTAGAAGCATGGACAATGAGAACATCCGATGAGGTGGCTCTTGAAGTATTCGAGAGAAAGATTTTGCGGAAGATTTACGGGCCTTAACGTGTTGGCGACGGTGAGTACCGCAGACGATGGAACGATGAGCTGTATGAGCTTTACAGCAACATGGACATAGTGCAGCAAATTAAAATACAGCGGCTCCGCTGGCTTGGTCATGTCGTTCGAATGGACACCGACGCTCCATCTCTGAAAGTATTCAACTCTGAACCCGCTGGTGGTAGCAGAGGAAGCGGAAGGCGCCCATTGAGATGGAAACACCAGGTGGAGAAGGACTTGGCTTCACTTGGCATTTCCAATTGGCGCCAGTTGGCACAGAAAATAATCGACTTGTGTGCTGTATTGGACTCGGCCAAAATCGCTTAGGCGGTTACAGCACCTAATAAGAAGAAGAAGATGATATGCTAATCTTGGCAAAAAGCTACCTACGCACAGTGCCGCTTAAGTGGGCATAAATCGAAATATTTGTGGCCTGCAATGTGAACGTGTTTGGTATTCTTATATTTAAATGTAATTTATCCACTAAAGAGAATTAAACAGAAATTTACTTACAAAATAAATTATGTATATGCCGCCAGGAAACCACTAAAGTCGACAAATTTTATACTAAGTATTTTAATAGGAGCATAGCCATGTGTAAGCTCTTCACGGAAACAAATCGCACACCGTCTTCAAAAGGGTCACAGAGCTTTTGTTTACCTGTCAGCAAAAGCTGGAGCAAATTTTTGTTATAATTTGTTAAAAACACGTTAAGTCGCCCTTGCCCATATGATTATCATATGCTAAGAAATAGTTCTTCGCATTTTCTGACAAACGTATTATTTTGAGTTGTGTCTCTATTGAAGACGGTGTGCGAAATGTCAAAAATACATTCTTTGAAATAAAAAGTTAGTTTGACGTTTTTTATTTCCATATAGAGAGTAGAGAACTACAGGAATACAAATTTTTAAATAAAATTAAACATAGGGTGTCCCTTCCAGAAAAACAATCTTTTTTAATAACAATCCAAAAAAATGGTAAATTTTAATGGAATGAATAAAAATTATGAAAAATATATTATTTTTTTATTATTTTATTAAATAGTACGGGGTTTTAGCTTTTGAAAGAAAAAAAAACCTTGCTCATTTTTTGCACTTTGTGAAGTAATGCTTTTTTTGCTAAAGCATAAAATAATTTTTTCATTTTTTATCAGTGCCATCAGATTCGCACGATTCGCTCTATTTTCGAAAATGAAGTGCCAGGTTAAAAAGCTTTACCTGTAGATAGAGGTTTATTTTTTTAAAGAGTTGCCCCCTCAAAAAAATAAATTAAAATTTTTTAATAAGTTAAATTAATTATTAAGAGATGGGTATCAATAGAAATGTAGATGAAAAGGGTTTATTTCTTAATGTAGAGGGTTGCCACCTGTTTAAAAAATCCAATTCTATTTAATCTAAAGAAATTAGGTAATTGAAATAGATAGGCATCACCATGTGGGAGTCAGACGACACAGGTTTAAGAACGTTGTAGCGTGAAAATATTACGAAGACTGTTTCCAAATGTTTGGGAACTCAAATTTAGTTAAACTAAAATAATAATTGTTTCAAACCAAACACNGTCAGACGACACAGGTTTAAGAACGTTGTAGCGTGAAAATATTACGAAGAGGGTTTCCAAATGTTTGGGAACTCAAATTTAGTTAAACTAAAATAATAATTGTTTCAAACCAAACACTGAAACAATTTCAACCCTCAAGTTGCTTCCCTTCGCCGATTCCTGTTGCTACTATTTCGGCGGACCTCACTGAACATTTTCCATAAAAAGAGAGCCAAATCCGTCGGCCGCTTTTTTCTATGGTAATTTTTATTAATTTAAATATTACACAGGCCACCAAAAATTTCAAAAAATGTTGTTTCCTAAAACGTTAAAGCTGTTTTCGATAGCCTTTTTTGTGCTGATTACGAATCTGTAAGTATAAAGTTTCCATCAGCTTTATGGTTTGAGGAAAACGTGGTCAAAGTATAAAAAATCGCGTGTTTCGAAATATTTGAGAAGCTCCAGCAAAAAAATTAAAGGTGATAGAACCTTATACTTAGGCTTAAATTAAGGCTAAAACTCTCGACTACTATCCCTGAAAATACCATTCGTGCATTTTGACTTGATGGCCACTTATAGTCATTTATTGAACAAAAAACTTCGATAAAATCAGATTTTGCTGTTCAACAAATGACTTTAAGTGAACATAAAGTCAAGGTGGACGAATGGTAATTGCTGGGGTAGTAGTCGAGAGTTCTGGCTTTAGTTTAAGCTCAAGTGGAACGTTCTATCACATTTTGTTTTTTTGCTAGAGCTGCTCAAATTTTGCAAAAAACGCGATTTTTTGATACTTTGACCACGTTTTTCTCAAAATCTAAAGCTGATGGAAACTTTATACTTTCAGATTCGTAATCAGCACAAAAAATTCTATCAAAAGCAGCTTTAACATTTTAGGAAAAAATTTTGTTTTCCAATTTTTGTTGGTGTTCGCAGCAGAACTAAATTCGTATTTTTCGATATTCGCAGCATCACTAATTTTGTATTTTTCGTTATTCGCAGCAACNACCACGTTTTTCTCAAAATCTAAAGCTGATGGAAACTTTATACTTTCAGATTCGTAATCAGCACAAAAAATTCTATCAAAAGCAGCTTTAACATTTTAGGAAAAAATTTTGTTTTCCAATTTTTGTTGGTGTTCGCAGCAGAACTAAATTCGTATTTTTCGATATTCGCAGCATCACTAATTTTGTATTTTTCGTTATTCGCAGCAACAAATGGCGTGATCTTAAAACTGTAATTCTCTCATTGCGAAGTACTAAAATTCTTGCATTTTCTTCCTCACTTCATTCTTATGTACATTTTAGCATAAGCATAGCTCAATTTTACATTGTAAAATATTCTGATTTCACTTCTGCCGCGATCACGAAGCAATAAAGTTGTTAAAAATTTTAAGCGCGTTTTTATTTTATTTGGTACATAGGTGGTGCAAATCAGCTCCTCCTCAAAACATTTGGTGACCCCGACGTGATCGGGTTAGAAGTCATTTCGCATTATAACACAATTTTCGTTGATTTGTGTGCAAGCAAAAATCGTGTACGCAAAATTCAAAGCTATTAAGACTTAAAAAAAAAATTGAATTAGTTCGTAAATGCATGATCGCATAACGGAGGTATCTGGTGATAGTACAGCTACATACTCCTACTTACTTGCATCTATAGTGTTGCCCCAAATTAATTGCAAAGCCCAAAATGCCAAAGGGCGGCAAATAAAAAAAGGGTACTGACGTCACATCAGCCGATGTAACGATCAACAGCGCCGAGTCAATTTCGTTCAATAAAAGGAAAAGCGCGTCGATTAAGCACCAATTAATTGCTTTAAACAAAACTTTGTCGGCGCAGCGTCTTAGTCAGCTCGATGAAGCTGAACTTTCTGTCCACATTGAGTACGTCGAGAGCATCCACGACAGCTTTGACCACGTGCAGTCGATTCTCGAAGAAGCTGATCACCGCGAACTAGATGGAACAGGCCGAGCAGAATTTTTCGACGTGTACCTAGAAGTCAAAGCAAAGCTGTCTCGCGAACTCAATTTACATCGGAAGCCAAACACCAGGCATTCATCGACCGTTAGGCACTTCGCATTGGAAGAACCGCAACCAACGTTATTTTCATCGCTACGAAAATCTCGCCTACCTGAGCTGAAAATACCGAAATTTAGCGGAGCATACATCGAATGGCCTAATTTCTTTGCCATGTTCAGCAGCGTTATTGACAATGACCTCGAGTTGAGCAAAGTGGAAAAACTTCAACATTTGCGCGCTAGTTTGCAAGGAGCCGCTTTGGAAACCATTTGGTCGCTAGAACCGGTTGAGGAGAATTATGACAAAGCCGTTTCTCTACTAAAAAACCGATTCGATAACAAATTACATGTTTTTCAGGCGCACATTAAGGCGATTTTCGGGTTTAAGACTGTCGACAAGAGTTCTGGTAGTGGTTTGCGGGAATTGAGCGACAAGTTTAATTCGCATCTTCGTGCACTGAACACATTGGCAACACCTGAACAAATTTCGGATGGTATACTCATACATCTTGTTACCAGAAAGTTCGATCAGAAGACGCAGGAAAAGTGGGAGGAGGACTTGCCGACGCAGACATTGCCAACTTTGAATTCACTAACCTTGTTTCTGGAGAAGCGGTGCCGAATGAGGGAAAATTTGGAAAGTGCTACGGTAACGCAAACACCTAGCAACCAGGTGGGCAAAAATTCGAATACAACGTTTTGGTCGCATCTTCAAGTAGCTCTAGCTTTTGCGTATTCTGCGATTCGAAAGATCATTACATAAATAACTGTATAAAATTTTTAAACTTGTCGCCGACTTTACGCTACAAAGATGCTAAGCGGCTGCAACTTTGTTTGAATTGCCTACGCAAAGGCCATAATCTACAACGGTGTAAGTCCGGGCATTGTCGTCATTGCTCAGGCAAACACAACTCGCTTCTACATATGAGCCCGCTTCTCTCGTCTTCAAATCAACCAATAATTGAACCCACAGGCTCTCCGCAGCAAACACTCATTTCATCCCTAACTTCAAGTTCAGTTCCTCAAGCCCCGAAATCGCTAGCCAACAGTAATGTGTTGCTTGCTACAGCCATACTTTCAGTAAAAAATCGCTCAGGCAACTTCGTTCCATGTCGTGCTATTCTCGACTCGGCCTCTCAAATAAATTTTGTAACTACTCGCTTGGCAAATCTGCTGCAACTTCCATTAAAACAATCAACAATTTTAATTTCCGGCATCGGCGAATCCAACTTCGTTGCCGACAAAGAGATTGACGTTTTCGCCCAGTCGCAAGACGAAAGCTACAAAACTTCGTTCGCTGCTGTGGTCACATCCAGCATTACAGATTATCAACCTAACTTCAGCCTTTCTTCGGAATGGAAAATACCATCAAATATTAATTTAGCAGATCCATTATTCTATTCACCACAGCGGATTGACTTGCTTATTGGCGCAGGTTTGTTTTTTGATTTGATGTGCGTTGGCCAAATTCGCATTGCTAGTAATTTGCCAATACTGCAAAAAACTCGACTGGGTTGGGTTGTCTCAGGTGGTGTTTCATATACCAACAAACAATCATCGTCACTCGCTGCTTGCAGCAAAAACATATCTGAACAACAACAAACCAACAACTCATTGCACGATATCGTTAAACGATTCTGGGAAATAGAGAATTGCTTCGACTCTACTCCCCCACCATCTGAAGAAGACGATTGGTGCGAGCAACATTTCAAAGAAAATTTCTCTCGGCTAGCCTCGGGAGAGTATTCAGTGCGTTTGCCTACAAAAACAGATTTAAGTGCTCTTGGCGACTCATATAATCATGCGCTTCGTAGATTTAAAAACTTAGAGCGAAAATTGGAAAATAATCATGACCGAAAAACTCAATATATTTCGTTTATGAATGAGTATAAATTGCTGAACCATATGTCACTGGCAAAGCTTCTAGCAACAACAAAAACATATTTTCTACCGTACCATTGCGTGCAAAAGCTTGACAGCACAACGACGAAGCTTCGCGTTGTATTCGATGGCTCCGCGAAAACAACAACGGGCCACTTGCTGAATGACCTCTTGCTAGCAGGTCCAACTATTCAACCAAAGCTGTTAAAAACTCTTTTATAATTTCGTTTTCGTAAATTCGCTCTGAGCGGAGACATATGTAAAATGTACCGATGCGTACGTATGACATCTCCAGACGAATATCTTCAATGTATTTTATGGCGCGAGCAAGTTAAACACTGTAACATATGGTACAAAATCTGCCGCCTTTCTGGCAATACGCGCGATGCATCAACTTTCGTACGATGAAGAAGAGTCATTTCCAATAGGTGCAAAAATCGTGAGAAGAGACTTTTATGTGGACGATCTCATTTCGGGCGGAGATACCTTAGAAGAAGTTGTTGAGATCAGACGCCAGGTTAGAGGTTTACTTCAGCGTGGAGGATTCAAGATTCGTAAGTGGTGCTCAAACGGGGAGAGCACGCTACAGGGAGTTGTTGGCTCGGAGTGTGAGAATCTACTGAAATTCCATGATGGAACTGATGTAACGAAGACTCTCGGCCTCATCTGGGACCCTAAGACAGATAATTTCTTATTCTCATTTTCGCCTATCGCTTATAGCGAACGCACGACAAAACGCACGATACTTTCATATATTGCAAAATTTTATGATCCGCTTGGCCTTGTTTCACCTGTCATTACGAAGGCAAAAATTTTCCTGCAAATCCTTTGGAGAGAGAAACTACAGTGGGACGAGAGTTTGCCTCAGTTGCTGCAAACTACGTGGACCGACATTTGTGCACTGTTTGGTATAGTCAGCAGCCTTAATTTTCCTCGCTTTGTACTGACGCCTAATTCCAGTTGGGAGATTATTGGCAGCGTTTGGTGCATGCGTATACATTCGTTCGGAGTGTGATGGTTTCTTTTAATCGTGCTTACTTTGTGCAAAGTCAAAGGTCTCGCCTCTAAAGAGTTTAACTATCCCTAAATTAGAATTATCGCACGATTTTCCACATTCTCACACCGTTCACTGCTGGTCAGACTCAATGGTCACTCTGTCCTGGCTTCGCGAACAACCATCAAATTTCAACATTTTCGTATCCAATAGAGTTAGCCAGATACAAACGTGAACCGAGGGTATGACTTGGCATCACGTGCCTACTTCTTTGAATCCGGCAGACATCCTTTCGAGAGGATGCACTCCAAATGAACAACTAAATTCAGAACTTTGGAGCAATGGTCCACCATTTTTGTCAAAGGAGCACTCAGATTGGCCGAAAAGCATGGATTTTTTAACTGATTTACCCGAACGGCGACGCAAGGCTTTAGTTACTTCTCAATTGCGGGACATTACGCTCGAATGTAAGTACTACAACTCTTTTGACAAATTGCAGTGCGTCTTTGCATACGTCTACTATTTTTGCCAACTGCGCAGTGCTCGAGTTGATGACCAACCCTTGACCCCGCTGAACATTAAAATGGGTACACAATTGCTAATCCGTAACATTCAACAAATTCATTTTGCAGCTGAGCTCAAGGCGCTACGAGTTAATAAGAAACTTAATTCATCAAGTAAGCTACACTCATTAAATCCGTTTGTCGACTCACTTGGGCTTCTTCGTGTTGGAGGACGTTTGCAAAACTCATTATTGGACTTTGATGCAAAACATCCACCCCTTTTACCAAAGAACCATCCGGTCACTATAGCACTAATTGGCCACTTTCATCGTAAATGTTTACACGCTGGACCGCAGAGCGTACTTGCTGCAATACGGCAGCAATATTGGCCAATTGGTGGTCGAAAGACTGTTGCAAGTGTCATAAACAAATGCGTTCGTTGTTTCCGTGTAAAACCAAAAATCTACGAGCATATTATGGGCGGCCTACCAGCCGATAGAGTGCAAGCAAGCAGAGCCTTTTTTACCACTGGCATTGACTATTGCGGGCCATTTTACTGCAAGTCGGAAGTTCGCAATAGGCCACCCATTAAATGTTACATATGTATTTTTGTTTGCTTCAGCACTAAGGCTTGTCATCTGGAACTGGTCAAAGATCTTTCTACAGCATCATTTTTGGCAGCTTTGAAACGCTTTATTTGCACAAGAGACAAACCACACACCATTTGGTCAGATAATGCGACGAATTTTGTTGGTGCTAAAAACGAGATGCAAGACTTAAGGCAATTGTTTTTAAGCAATTTTATAATATTGAAATCACTAATCAATGCACCTCAGAGGGCATCGCTTGGAGATTTATTCCCCCTCGTTCACCACATTTTGGTGGATTATGGGAGGCGGCGGTTAAGTCAGCGAAATTCCACTTTTCACGCACTGTTGGCCTGTCAGTCCTAACATTTGAAGAGCTTCGCACTTTTGTGTGTCGGAGCAATAATTAATTATCGTCCACTTTGTCCAATTTCAGAGAATCCAGATGATTTTGACGTGCTCACGCCCGCTCATTACCTCATAGGTGTGCCATTTACATCTGTCGTTGAACCAGACGTAACCGGTCTCAATATCAGTCGTTTAAACCGATGGCAGCGCGTTTATCATATGCAGCAGGTATTTTGGAAAAAGTGGAGTAGCTCGTATCTCTCACTGGGAGTATTCAAGTTGGAAACATGGTCATTTTGAAAGACGAAAACCTTCCATCATTGAAATGGCGACTAGGTCGGGTGGAGAGTTTAATTCGTGGCGCTGATGGTGTGGCTCGTGTTGTAATCATTCGCACTGCTAACGGATTGGTTAAGCGAGCCGTGAGAAAAATTGCTGTGCTCCCTATTGAGACTGAGGTGGTTGGAAGCCTACACCTTCCAACGGGGGGAGGATGTTCGCAGCAGAACTAAATTCGTATTTTTCGATATACGCAGCATCACTAATTTTGCATTTTTCGTTATTCGCAGCACTAAATGGCGTGATCTTAAAACTGTAATTCTCTCATTGCGAAGTACTAAAATTTTTGCATTTTCTTCCTCACTTCATTCTTATGTACATTTTAGCATAAGCATAGCTCAATTTTACATTGTAAAATATTCTGATTTCACTTCTGCCGCGATCACGAAGCAATAAAGTTGTTAAAAATTTTAAGCGCGTTTTTATTTATTTGGTACATAGGTGGTGCAAATCAGCTCCTCCTCAAAACAGTTGGCCTGTGTAATATTTGAATTAGTAAAAGTTACCATAGAAAAAAAGCGCCCGACGGATTTTGCTCTTTTTTTTTGGAAAATGTTCAGTGAGTTCCCCCGAAATAGTAGCAACAGGAATCGGCGAAGGGACGCAACTTGAGGGTTGAAATTGTTTCCAGGGTACCGTGCAAAGGTTTACTGCATCGAATTTGTTATTTTTTACAAATATATACATTGTCAACCAGTGACTTGTTCGGATTACATTACTTTTAAATTACTAAACTCTTAAATTAACTCAGGATTGTTTTTACTGTTCACTTATTTCTTGCTAAATATGTCCAATTTTTCTTTTGTCTGATACCAATATTGATATACATTTCAGTTCCATTCAGTTACCTTATTCCCTTAATTAAAGTGAATTTGATTTTTTAAACATCACATCTGCATGTCGTTTAGAAGTAAAGCATTTTCAAAACCGTTTCAATTGATACCCATATTGTAATATCTAATTCATTTAACTTATTAAATAATTTTAATAAACTTTGTAACAGATGGCAACCCGTTTCAAAAAAATAAAACTTTATTGCACATCTACAGGCCAAGCCATGTCATTTCACACCTCAATTTGGAAATAGAACGAACTATATGTACATGCCTATGTAAATGCCACAAGAACCCACATTTTTGACTTAAAACTGCATTTACAGTGAAAGTAGCGAATTTTCACTAAATCCGTCCAGAATTCTATTTTTGCTTGCATTTGGAATTTTATTCCTCATGCTGTCAAAATCAAATTCCACAAAAGCAACTTTAAAACTTTCCTCCATAACTATTTCTCGTCTAGTGGATGAACCATCTAAATATTTAAGTTGTTATCTAGTCCATAATTTTTAGTTTGTATATTAAAGTGGTCCAAAAATGTATGTAAAAAAATAAGGTCACTCACTAAATATTTTTTGATTTCAAAATAAAAAAATAGGGGTATATTTTTTTCGATATGGATCAATCCTAGGGTGTGCCGGCATTAAAACTCCGACTTTATTTTTTTGGACCACTCTATTGTACATCTTATTTACTGAGATCTTAATAATATATTTTTTTTGTTTCCTGCATTAATATTAATATTATCTCTAAATCTGTTTAGTTACTTATATTGCTGTTGTACTTCCAAAGACCAAGTCTTATTGCACTAATTTTAAATAAAGAATAAGAATATCTGGACTTTTATCTGTAAGAGAAGCACTGTGCTACTACTACTATTTTTTCGAATAGATCGGTCTCTGGACCACTTACCGGAAAAAGGGATTCTATATGCTAATCTAGGCAAAAAGCCATCCACGTGCAAAATTTCAAGCAAATCGGACTATAAATAAGATTTTTTCAAATAGATCGGTCCCTGGTCCACTTCCCGCAAAAAATGCTATATGCTAATCAAGGGAAAAATCTTCCCACGTACCAAATTTTATGCAAATCTGACCATAAATACGATTTTTTCGAATAGATCGGTCCCTGGTCCACTTCTGGAAAAAAAAGAATCATTTATGGGTGTTTCCATCGGAAGGTCTACCGCGGCAAAAAAGTCATATATCTAACGTAACCAATTTGTCTGCTTTTTAATACCGAGCGACTTGTGCACAAGGGTATTATAACTTTGTTCGCATAACGGTTGTTTGTAACAGCCAAAACGAATCGAGATAGATATAGACAAATCTATGCATAAATGCTTCGAATGAAAAGAGAAATCGATTAAGCCATGTATGTCCGTCTGTCTGTCCGTGTACACGATAACTCGAGAAAAAATTGAGATATGTCCACGAAATTTGGTATGTAAGTTTCCCTTTATCCAAGATAGGTTGGGATTGAAAAGGGGCGACATCGGTTAATAACCACGTCCACCTCCCATATAACGGTATTTTCGAAATATGCAAAAACTACGATATTTCTGTAAATACTGGATCGAAATTGTTGAAAGTTGGTACGCGAAGTAGAATTTTGGTAT